ATACCGCCATTCGCTGATGATCCAGGCGACAAGTGCTCTGTAAGCTTTTTCTCCAAACTCTCTTCTTTCTTAATTATATCCGAAGCTTTCTTAACGAGTTCTTTCAGCTCATTTTTGAGTCCATCAAGAACCTCATACTGCATCTTAAGCCTGGCTTCAGCAGCACCCAACTCCTGACCCGGAGTTTGACGCAGAGTTTCGAGTTGTTGCTCCACTTTAATAATCACTCCTTTTTGAAAGTCATACTGATAATGTAGGCCTTCAAGTTGTGTAGACATCACGTCAATTCCAACATGGGCTTTTGCAATTTCTTTGATCAACGACGCTTCAGTAGTATCGAATGGATCGCAATATTTCTCAAGATTATATGCGCTAGGAAAAACCGGATAGACATCTCCACCAGCTGGATTTGCGCTTGGGGAGGCTGTCAAAGTGCTAGCTTCAGCACTCATGGTAGAACTGGGATAAACTGGACTAGCTGTAGTAACTGAGCAGACAGCCAAGATTGATGATAATATGGTGATTGATAATTTCATTATATTGGTTTGGTTGAGCAAGTTGTAATGATTGTCATTCAGCACATTGATTTTTATATTGTATTTATATCCACTATTGAGCGGATAATATTAAAAGCATATTCCTTGGATGACCGCTCTAAGGGATTTGTGTTGTCAGGGCTAATAGTGATTTACTACCAATGTCAAGGTAACTTTGAAAGGGTCACCCTTTATATTATGATTTGTTGCTTGATTTAAACCCTGATATCAAGTTTAACGACTATACTTGCCGCACTATGATGTCGCTACACAATATATTCCAGGTGATATCACCACATGACGGTACACAAGCAATATTGTTCATCCACACCAATTATATTGCAAGCGCTCGAGATCTTATCTGTTCAACATCACATTGTCACCAATACAATAGTATGACATGATCGTATTGCACCAATCCAATAGTATGTGTTTACACCACGCACACCAAACCAACTCAGTGATATGCGAATGTTGTGGCTTGACCAAATCACAATCACCCATATTATCGACTGTCCAACTCGTTGATATTCAAACCGTGTCATCACTAGTCACAATATAATGGTTGACTGACTTGTTTGATTGATCTGACATTGACACTTTGCAAACCTCGACTTGATTCATCAACTTGTATATTCATATAATGCCGGGTTTGTATCATCACGTTGGACTCGTTATCAAACACCTTGATGTGTCCATGCAACCCAAACTCGATACACACACATTAGTTATTGTTTGACATGACTGGGTCGATCATCAATACCAGACAGTGCAACTGTATTAGTTGTATGATACAATCAATCATGGTTGATTCATCACCATCAAATATCAAATGTTGATCACGTATACATTGATTTGTAGTTGCATGGTCTGTTGGCAATGCACACTATGATATGATTGACAAGTTGTTGATTTGCAGTAATCAGATGTGCATCACCTGTAACATTGGATGCAATTGACGAGTTGTAACCGCAAGTCAACAATCATCGATATGTTGGTGATTGTATTGACTACATGATTGGTATCGATTAGCTGTCATGATCGATTGGTGGACAATACAATCCACATTGATTATGACATGTTGCAACTAGTTGATATATGCAGACTCGACTGATGATCGAGTATATGTTGATGAGTAACTCTGTCACTGTTGGTTTGGATTGGTCATTGCTACTGCTTGTATATGCAGTGTATTCATGTGTGATGTATTGGATATCGGTGCTGTGTATGTTGAACCTGTTGAACAATATATTGTCATGTCGCATCAAATCGCACCATATTTAGAGTGCAATCATTGATTTGTTGGTTTAATGATCGACTCGACTCACATTCGACTGTAATGGCCACAAATCTGCATTGCTGATTGACAGGAATATATCAACATATATCAGACTCGGACATGGTGTATATCAGTTGCATATACCAATCACTGATGCAATTGATGATGATCGATTAGTCAATCAATTGGATATCAACACCAATGTCAGTCGATTAACATATGAATACTTGCAGTTGTGACCTGTATTCATTCAGTAATATTGTTGTATGTCGTGACTCGATACAGCACATCATGATATGTTGGACAATTGTATTGCAACACGGTCAATGGCATGCTGGTGGTTTGTTGTGCTGTCTGGCTGTATATATGGTGTCGATCAGTGTCAATCAGTAATGCATTTGTATTGGTCATGACTTGTGTGCAGTGATCTGGCAGTATCGTAATGTATGATACCATGATCAATGTAAAACACCATTTGATCAAACACGGTAATTGTGATTGTGATTACAATCTAGAATTGTGTGGAATACAATCAAAATCACAATTGGCAGGATATTGGGTGACTTTGTGTGCAATAACCATTATTGGTAGTTCAATTTGTATCTATACCAAGAACAACCGACTGTTGCATAGTATCAAGTTGACAAGTGATTTGTGGCATCTTTTGTTGAATATAATAAATCAAACAAAACACAATCCAATATTCAAATTAGCTCAATATTTATTATCAGGAACTGGTAATGAATTCAACAAACGACGCAATCTGCTCGCTTAAAATATTGCGCATATTGCTCTTTGAAACGACAACAACGATATTTTGGTTTCCCTCGACGCTGTTATAAGTATTTTCAGTTGAAACAGCACTGAGTGGTTCAGGCAGCTCAATCAAGAACCTTATTGAAAACTTTAACGGGGTATCAGATATACTCTGCTGCCATTTCAAATACGTTTCGTTATTCGTTGGCCGATCTGCTTTAATAAAGAAAAAGTCTGGATTTGTAGATTCAAGATTATCGGCAGACACTGCTGAAGGAATTTTTGATGTATATAGCTTGATTCCAAATGACACGCAGACTTGTTTGGATAAAAACGCAAGGATGTCTGGTCGAAACTGGTTTGAAGGACGAAAAAAGACTCCTGTTGGTCTATCGGATATGATTGTGCCATCTCCAGCCTTACGCTCTATTGTTGGCAACTGTAAACCATCAAGACCAGCAATCGAAACACCAAAACTAGATAGGACATTTGAAAGATGCGGTCCATTTTTTTGGATCATACCAGCCAAAATGACGGCTTCGAATGGTGTTCCTTTGGCTGTAGTTTTTTTACCTTTTGTGCCAGCAATGCTGCTCAAAAGATCCAACGATGACAACAGATTGAACTGTTGAAACTCTGTTCGGAATAAATTGAGAAGCAAGTCTATCACATATCCTTCAGACAAAAAGTATCCGCCAGTTTCACAAATGAGATGTATAGATCCAACAGTATTCATGAAAAAGTATTCTTGATTCTTGTCCAGTTGGCAGTATATTGGTCCATGATTGGTCGTCATCATTGATGATAAAATAAGCTTTAACATAATCTGTGTGTGAATGAGCCCTGATGGTCCTGGCAATAGGTTCGATTGACATACGAGCGAATCGACCAATTACCGCATTGTAAGATTCCTCTACTATATCATTGATATTCGAAAAGGCATGCTGTTTTTTCAGTCGTATGCGTTGTGCCGTTGCCGAGTCATTGTCATTGATTCCAGCACTGAACAAGTCATATACAAAGTTTTCCAAAATTCTTGGTCGATAGTTGTCGGTAAGAACAGTCTTGAGAATATCCGGATGAATATCGACAAAAGCAGTCACATAGTCCAACACCATTTCACAGTCCCAAGTTATGAATTCATTGAGAATAAGAGGACCAACAGGTTTCGTTCCAAATGATTTAAAGTTGTCAATGTTGCGTAGTTTTGATGATGTTCCAGCAAAAATAACCTTTTTGGCAAACTCCTTATTTTTGATAACATACAGCAAGACTGAGAGTGTTCCTCTTTTTGAATCTTCATTCACATCTCCGTTTTGTTGGATGTGATTTCCCTCCATTGACGAGATAATCGTGCTTCCAAGATGTTCGGCCAACACATGAGCTTGATCAAAACAAAAGAGGCAGCGCAAATCATCGTCAATATAGCTGCAATGTATGTCGTTCAACTTGTCCAAAGACAATAGCTTCAGTTTCAGAAAGCATAGTCTGATGGCTCTTGAGTTGAACAATTGGTGAATGAGAAACTGTGCTGGAGTTATGTTAGGATATTTTTCCTTGAGATATTTGAGAAACAGAACACGAGACAGTAGAAAGGCATAGGTAATATCATAGAGTTGTGGCAGGCTTTGATTCGGTTTTCCATTTTGAAGTGATGCTTTCAAAACTTTCTTTCAATGAGAAGAGTGAGGCATCATTATTAGAATATTCAGACGGATACTCCTAAGTGGTAATCTGTGACAAAGCTAATTCTAATAACGCACACTTTGAATCTCCAAATTAAACCCTTCATCACCACTAATCCATATGCCCCAACTCCATTATCCTCATTTCTGGAGATTCATGTTCCAAGTAACGGGTAAATGGTGTCATTATGTAGATATAGTCAACTACAGGAATCAATCCCATTGGCTCAACTACTTTTCGTTTACAACCACTAATTATCAAATGTGTTACTTGTTCGTATCACAAGACAATCAACTACTATAAAAGCTAGAATGCTTAATCTTATCAATAAACAACTATTCAAACTATTTCAACTTTCTAATTACTTTATCACACCTTTTTACTATACTTGAAAAGACCAAGTCTGCTGATCTTGGATTAAAGTGAAACTTCCATTACACTTTTGATTTGTTCTCTTCTGATAACTACTAACAGTTACAGATTATATTCTACTTTATACTTTACTACATTTATACAAATCACGAAGCTCCGAAAATTCTGACAGTCCAAGGTAATTCTGAATAAATAAACACCAGATAGTCACTGATAAACTGATAGTAGTTGATGTATAAATGGCACATTGTATAGTTACATTTAATTGCCAGCAATGTGTGATTGGATTACTCGAGTCATCAAGCAGTTTTCAAACAGTTTTCAAGAACAATCAAGTCATGTCCAATAAACTGTCCGATGTGCAGGTGTTTTGGCATTGGTCCGTTGGTCCATTAGTACGATTGTTGGTTGGCAATTCAGACTTGTAAATGACAATTGATTCTTGATTGTTGCATTGGTGTCCATATGTGTCCATATGTGACTCATTGTATACGGAACAGGACTGACAAGTGTGTCTGAATTGATGACAGATGATACAGCCTATCCAACAGAAAGTAATACATTGATCGTGTCTGCGTGGAAATAAGCTTCATAACTTCCACTTCTGAATGTATGAGAATCAACATTCAAACAACGAATACGTCCAATGACTCTTGCAAATGCATTGATAGAGTGTTGTTGAATAATTCGAGTTCTTCCAGAGCAGTGTCACTGGAAATAGTTACTGTTATTCAGACAGTCACTTGTCCAGACCTTACAGTTGTAATATTACACATTTTCCATTGTTGCTGGATACCAATATGCCTACATTTAAAGATGAATGCTACCAACAAAATATTCCATTAGAACTGCAACTGTTGCTTCAAGGTCATGGACATATCGTTGTAAATCGTTTCAAATATCAGTCTGTTACCCCATTTTAAACCAATCCATCAATCTCCGATTCGGCTCGCTCAATACTCTCCAGCAACTTGCATTCCATTCCTACATCGACTTGTTCATCGTATTCATGTTTACAGCGTTTGTTGTTTTGACTGCGATTTGCATCAACCCAGAATAATGGAATTTACCATTTCCTTTGTAGAATCTGTCCATAATGTCTGTTTTAATGTAGTCATTTGACTGTTTTTCGATACAAAAGTTGACAATCATTGCTTTATCATCGACTTGACCGCAGTTTGATAAGTTGACAGCACAATCGCATATACACAGGATACGAAATATCAAATCCAATCAAAGTTGGGTATTGTTTGCTGTATCCTTGTCAACTCGGACAATAACACCACATGGCAATACTTGATAGCAATGTAGACTGTTTTGGTGCTGTGAGATGCAATGATACAACGAGTTTCAGGACCCATTCCAATATGATGCAGCATATTGCAGACAAACAGTTCATTTGTATCTGGTTGCCTGATACCTTTTACATTGTATTGTGTGGGTCTGTACTGACGAGTCTTGATGTAGCAACAAACAGTCAGTTGTTGCTGACATTCCAAGCGAATCTGGTCTGGATTCCGTTTTTCTTTGGAGATAATGAGATGTCAAACAACTTGTTAATGTCAGCCTTGTAGTGTTGAATGACAGTATTGATTGACAGCAGTTTGAATCGGTTCCGTATTTCCATCCAGATACTGTGATATTGGCAAGAAGGATCTTGCAGAGTTGTTGGTTGTTGATGGGCAAGTTGGATATAAAGTTATTTTCAATCAATCCGTTGACAGTCATGATAGCATACTTTGATTTGTATGTACGCAATACTGCTGTCATCTTGTGTATGGTGTTTCGTATTCCTACAAACGCAATCTATTTCCAGCTGTTTTCTTTGTAGACATTTGATGTTGTGTAACAATGAGGATGTAAAATGTAGTACAGAAATAGACGACTAAATTATATTTATTCCAATGGATTTAGCACTCTTGTTCAAGTAAAACAGTATCATCCGATGCTCACTATACACTACTTGTACGTTGAATCATGCCAATCACTTGCTATTTTAACAAGCATGGAATATCACGGCACATATTGATGACCATTTAATATCCGAGTGTCAACTCATTCCAGTTTTGGTTTATACTCATTTCTTGGCCCTAACCCTTGACCATAGCCATTTTTAGGGTGGGACTGCATAGCCAACCATATGATATTCGAATGTATGGTCAAATAGCGGCTCAACCAACATTGTGGATACCATATAAAGGGAGATCCCTTCAAAGTTTGGCATTGATAACAAATCAATATCAACCCTGATAACAACACTAACCCTTAAAACGGTCATTCAAGGGATATGCTTTTAATATCATTTATTCAATAATGTATATAAATACAGTTCAAAAACCGACTTGTTGAATGACATTACAACTTGCTCAACCAAACCAGTAAAATGAAACTCGCAGTTGCTGTATTGTCATCGATCCTGCTTGCATGCTCGGTTACTACAGCCAATCCAGTCAACCCCAGTGCAACTACAGATGTTGAAACTAGCACTTCAACCGTCATTCCCAGTGCAACTACAGATGTTGAAGCTATCACCTCGCCAACTCCTAATCCAAACGGTATAGGTTTAGGTGGTCTTGATCAACTTCCAAGTAGCATCAAGGAATTGCTCGACAAACACCTAAAGCTAAGTCATGCTCGCGATGAACAAAAAAAAGTATGCGACCCGTTAAAACCTGAGTATGACAGCCAGATTATACTGATAGCGGACTTGGAAACGAAGATTCAAGTTTTGGAACGTAAATTTCAAAGAAGCGGCGGCAGTCCAAAATATGATGGTGAAATTCAGAAGACTAAGGCTGATCTCGAAGCTCAAAAAGTCAAACTTAAGGATATTAGAAGCCGCTACTATGAGTGCCAGCTCAAGACATGTTATATTGAACTTGATCTGAGTCTCATCAAAATAGAGCTCGTGGAGTGCGTTTTTGGAGAAACTTGGGATCCTGAATCAACTGAACGGAAACTTTTGCTTATCGGCCAACATCCTTCCGTTATGAGGTACTTTGGCGAATTAGGTAATAAAGGACAATCATCAGAATGCAATGAATGTCTTGGTCAGAATCCTAGTGATCAACAACAGCATCAAGAACCGCAACCATCACCGGATACACCATCCGGATCTGGATCCTCTGGACAGAAAGTTCCCTCCAATAGACAAAAAGGTTCATCCAAGTTTATGGGTAAATTGAAATCATTCTTTGGACGACCCAAATAATGACGATTCATCCAATTAATTTGAATGTCAACCTGTTGGTTCCAATTGATTCAATTGTCATTCTGGTTTAATTTGCAATAAAATTGGATCTACATGCATTATATCTGATTATTCCAGTCTTGTTGACACGATATCATATTGTACATTGACACTTGTATTTCCAATACAACACAATACAGTTGATTATATATTGCATAGTTGTACACATTGATGATGCTGACATGCATGTGTGTATCGTGTCGATATGATATTGCTTGACATGTCGTATTGACATATTCCATGCAACACTAATACCAACAATAGTCATGTGTACAATATCAATATGTTGCACAACAGTCATTCAAACAGGTTGGAGCATGCCACATTGCAGCAATGTAATCAAATTGGTACAACACATGTCAACATAAATGTACTGTAGTGTAGTGTAGTATACACTAGTAGTAATGATTCAACTAACGACATGATCATGTCCATGTTCATGATTATGGGGACATACAGCATTACAATGATGGGTCAGCAACAATGTGATGGAGTTGGATGCGTAATATCAAACCCATGTCCGAAATACGTGATGTAACAACAACTTGCAGTCATATTGATGTAAATGGACCACTAAATAACAGTGTTGGTGTGTGATAAACAGTTGCATTACTGACATGTGTCATGATTGTTGCTGAACTAGATTGCGATCGTATCCGTGATTCAGAATACAACAGAAACAACAAATGCCGGTTCAAGACTATTTCAGTTCAAAATCATAGTTTGTGTGCATCATATCATTGACACTGTTTATAATAATTCATAATGTATATTGAGTCAACAGTCAATGTCAAGTACAAAACTACAACCAATATTCAGCATTGTTTATTCCAAACCAACAGTCAATTACTGCAAGATAGTGTTCAACTCTACATGAATGCGATTGTATACCATTTTGGTTTCAGCTGTAAATTTGAGCCATTTCGACTTGTCCAAATTTTGCTTGTAATCTGTGCGATTTGTTGCGGATTCAGTACAAAGGTGAACAAATCTGATATTTCTACTCGAGATACTGGAGTGTCTTGATTGAATGCACTTTAACAAAACAGTCAATACTATGCTGTTTTGTTGGATCACATCAATTGATATACTCTTGGATACTTGTGGCTAGTTTACTGTGTTGTATTTGTTAGACATTGATTGTAATCTAGTTGGGTGTCACGGATAGCAACAATCGACATAACAGTGGACACTATTGGACATGTACACTGCAATGTGACTGTCAGCAACCATCACCATCAGTGTGTATCATGTGTTTAAAAGTACTCGCATGCATTGGATTCAACACCACGTTTGTGATTGGGTTTGATCTGGATTGTATTGGTGGTGTTGTTTTGCATATATCAGTAGATTGTGTGCTGATTTGAATGACATGATCATCCATTGTGATTCATGTACACGATGACAATCTGACCTGTTGACACGGCCAGTTTGTTGAACGACCTGCCAATCTCCAATTCAATTATAGTACAATGTCACTCATTCGATGTATCAACGACAGATTTCCGAGTTTGATGTTGATCATGTTGTGACACAATCAGCAGTGTTTGACGTATACAGTCTAGATTAACCTAAAATGACTGTGCAGTCATACCAATGGAAAAGTCATGGTTTTGAAATACTGCAACAACAGGTTGTTTGATGCTGTTGTGTCCGAATGATCCAAAACATGACCAATTGGACAATCAGTCAAGTATTTGGTATACAGTAGCAGTATATGCTGTAGTAATGGATTGTAAATGTGATGATAACTATCCATAATCAGGGGGACACTACCTGATTATTAGATATATCACCGCAATTGGAGATGAACACAACATACTACTGAGGTTGATTTTCCACCAACAGCAATGCTTGTATATTGATCGATTCCATGGTGTATTTGGCGTTTTCTGAATATCCATTTCAAAAGTGCTGATTGTCACCCTTGAAGCTGCCGTTGTTATAAAATAACAGTCATGTATCAGATTCAAAACACTTTCATCAAACTGATCGATGCAATGCATTGCAACATTGACAAGATATGCGATCGTGTGTTTGATTATTTTGTGATCCAAGAGTGTCAATATTCAATCACTTACAATTCTGATTGTGGTGGAATGATTGACTCTACATGTTGAACCCTTTCTATTGTCCTGGTGTTTGGAATGACGATCGGTCATCATGTGTTGTTGTTTAATCCAGACTATTGGCTGGTTATTACTTTGAACATGTCAGAATTGACAGACGTTACACTGGTAGCATCTACTTTTGCCTGTAAAAATACAAATCACTTGTTGCGGAACATGTTTGGATCTTGGCAACTATGTCTGTTGTTGAATGGAGTGAATGCATTCATGCATCTGTCTTGCTATCGTCAGTATTTCCAAGTTTAGCATCAATTCAGTTTTGTGCAAACCCATCAATATACACAAATGGAGTTGTGTATGCAATGCAATGCAAGAATATTTATAATGACGACTGAATTCCTATGTTTTGAAACAAGTTCTATTTGCAATTACGAATCATGATGATAAAATTGATCATTGAGCTCATATTCAAGGTTCCGTGTTTGGTGTTGGTTGCATATGGCTAATCAAAGTTATTTGATTTTGAAAATCCAATCTGTATATCAATTTCATCTTGAAACTTTATTGAAGGTTATTTCCAACTGAATTTAAAAAATCCCAAACACCGTTGCCAATTTTGTCAAAAAACTGAGGCGAGTTTTGACTATTGATGATTCTCATACCTTGAGCGTCAACGGAGTTCTTTTCAGCAGTATGAATAACCAGAGTCTGTTGCAATGAGTAGCCTGATTTGTGTAGTTTCAACAAAGTGCTAAGAAGGTGAGTTCGTTTTTCTTCAAACCCTTTCAACACTCCACCGCCATTACGTTTGCAATAAAAGCGTTCAGGATCTGTAGTATTGTAAGCGTTTGCAGCTTCTTGTTTTGACATTCTCTCGACAAATTTGATTTGGACAATGTATACAGTCTTTGTATTGGCACACTTGTAGATGATATCTGGTCCACACATATGATCGGGAAAGTATACTTGACTTGAATCACCAAATAGTAAATAGCCGAATGCAGAATCTCGGGATGCCTTGATACTATTGGCAGCATCAGAACCAGAATGGTTGGCTACTAAAGCAAACGCAACCAAGTATTCCGCCAAATAGCCAACCGTTTGAGGGTTAGGGCTAGGATACGAGCCAATTCTTTGGTATAAACTTTTGACAGTGTGTGCAAAGGGCAAAAAGTAGCAAAGACACTCGATTACGGCCAACTCTTGAATTTCAATGGAAGATATAGTTCCATCGACAGTCTGACCAAATCCCAAACCGTAACGTATTGCATTAGCAGCGTCATTTCCAGTTACATTAAGTTGCATTTTCCCCTCCCAAATGGCATCAAGAAATGCGTCGCGAATGGGTCCTGACAGGTTATCACCAGCAATGACTGTCAAATGAACGAATGCCTTCATCAAGGTCATTTTTCAAGAATCTAAGCGGGAAAATCTGGCCATCAACATTAGATATCCCAGTGATAAATTTGCCAATCGCAGCGTCAATATCATTTGATTCCATATATGTGCCCAGAATATACGATATGAAACATGGTCTTCCATGACATAATTCAAAGTCTGAAATTCTTGATACAATAGCATCCAGTTGATCGACTTGATGGTCTTGTAAAAATTGTCTAGCATACTGTTCGACCTCGAGCTTTGTCAGAGAATGGAAATCTGATACAACTACACAATCTGTGATTTGATCATCCTTCATAGCACTGAACTCCACTAGCTCTTTGATGAGTTCAAAGTCAATACTGGTGGCAGACAGTAGGCAATGAGGAAATACTCCCATCATTTTGGAATGGTATACAAATGGAGTGAAAAAGGGACGAAAGTTTCTACTTTCTGGTTGAAAATGAAAACGACGACCTCGTGCAAGATTTCGGACTCCATCAATGGCAATAAAAGGAAACGGGTTTATAATGGCAGTTGGGGAAAGTCCAGGTTCTTTTACAAGGGTCGTAAAAAGACGCTCAAACAAGTCAACTCCAAAGAATGCGATAGGATGGAGTTGAGCCAGAAGAATTTGCCAAGGTTCCTTGAATCCCTTGCTTATCAAGTAATTGCAAACAGAAACCCGAACGAAATACAACAGTTGGATAGCATGTTCAGTGAGTTCAGGCTGATAGTTACTCTCGCAATACACCTGGCATTGATACATGTCTTTAGAACCAAAGTCATCTTGAAAGCTCTTGCAAACAAAGTAGTACCCAAAGTTTGAATAAAGCAACTCTAGAAACATCCTTGTTTTTCCTGCACCAGAAACAGCAAAAAACAGTTTGATATTATCGACATTGTCAATTTGATAATTGGTTACTCTCCTATCAAGACGGTGTTCCAAGCAATTGTCGTTAAATACGGCGTTATTTGGAAACCTTGAAACGTTGACAATCCTTTCCAGATGATATATCAAATACTTGAAAGCGTCATTTGGTTTTCGCAATTTCAAATTATTGGCTTTAATGAATTCTTGGTCAGCTCGACTCTGTACAGTATCTTTGATAGGGACGGTCAACATTCACATCATTCTTGGATTTAATAGTCAGTGGACTGTCGTAACAACCAAAAGGATATTGGATAGAGGTCAGAAACCCATATCGAGCAATGGCTGGACCATACACCTCAAAATGAAGAGTGAGTTCGTCAACAGAAATAGCGTCAAGGAGGGGAGTGGCAGCAGTCTTGTAAGCTGAAATCAAATGAGAAACAGTAATCAGAGGTAGAGTTCCTTGTGGTACTCTTCCGTGAGCTGTATCGATAAGCACTGGAGAGTTGTTCTTGTATTGAAGATAAAATTTGGTCATTTTTGAGTTTGTTGAAAGAAAAGAAAAGAAAAAAAGAACAAATGTGAATTTGTCTCACATTCAAAATTTAAGTGAGACAAATTCACACACTTTGAAGTGTTTAAACATTTGTCATGTGTTCAATATAATGACTCGAGTCTTTTATTCAACATTTTAATATTTAATTATTGTTAATCAGTCAATTGTTGGATTGGTAAATATGTTACAAAACATGCATTTATATGCTGAATCTGACAAGTGGATGTGGATTGTTCCAATCAACAATTGGATTGGATCGACTGCAATATTGTCATTGATTGCAGTTACTGTTGACCAATACATTGTAATACATTGACAGTCTCGACATCAACATTGTCATTCATGTCAAGTTGTGTGTAGTTGCTAATATTACACCACAACAATACTGTGCCAACTTTCGAGTCCTGTGATACACTGTTTTAACTATGATCGGATCGATGTTGATCACTTGTCAATACACGGACCAGTTGTATAATCGTACAACTGTTGGTTAACCAATGTTTGACTGTCGATATTTGAATCATGAATATTGTCCAACATAATCGTCACTAACATTGTCGTTGTCGTTTGATTGCCTTGTTCTATGAATAATCATTGCAATATCATTTGTTCAGTTGTTGTTGGTTTATTGAAACCATGTCACAATTCTTGATATATTGCACGTAATCTTGTAATTGTTGGTGTTGTCTGTAGTGATTCTGTCAATGTATACGAATGACACTTGTTGCTAATTGGTAGTTGTTTATGATTAATACACAACCGATCGGGTTTGGTGACCATTCTATGCACATATATATTTGACATTATATTGGACTGTTATGTTGTTTGATCCAATAGTAGTATATGTCAGTCATACTATAATACTACATGTTTGTTGCAATATCCATACAACCTATATCCAAAACTGCACAAACACTGTCATTCAAGATTGATGAGTATGCAATCACAAATGAATCCAACGCATTTTTGCTGTATATAGTTGTATCAAATGTCGTGTTTGTTGGCTTGTCTGTTGACTTGACTAGATCTGATATTACACGGGCTATTCAACAATTGTATTGAATTCCGGTTAGTATCGAGTCATTTGAGTCGTTCGAGTAGTCAAGTTGCTTGGTTTGCAATGTGTTGTGTCCAGGAATCACTTGCAATCAAACCATCACCAAACCACAAGCTAACAACACCAAATGATATATGACTGGTTATATTAACACATTGTAAACACTCGACGAATTAACCATGAATCAGGTTTAATCATCAATCGCAAATATTGTCAAGCGTGTATTCCTGGTTTAGTTGATGATGATCCGAGTATGTGGTATTCGTCACAGTTTGATTTGGTCCAAACAGGTTTTGTAATGGTTTCAACAATGTCTGATGAATGACATGCTACAATCGCAGTCTATTGATATTACCGCATGATACAACTATTTGGTTGACCAAACGACTCGAATGTTGATGGATTATTATGCCAATCGACTGGTTTGATCCGATATCATCACACTTGATATGCCAACACATGCGACATATGATGGAGTGATGGAAATACTCGAAATACACAAAACACAACTCTTGCAGCAGTGTATGAAACTATCAAGCATGGTATGACATGACATGAAGGGTGTAGATTAGACTTGATAACAATGTGTACGATTTGTACTTTTAAATTCTGAAATAGCAGCTCTGTTCCAACATCACATTGATTGTAAATGTCAAGATTGTTAACCTTGTACAAATGACCATTTCACATGCAACTTTAGCCTGATATTGAGTATTTTCAAATGAATGCAAGCTTGCAACACTCGTTTGACTCGTTTGGTTTGGATTCTGGTTGATATTTACGATATCGATGCAAAGTTACATTCCAGAATGAACGTGTATAATCTGATGTGGTCAATCGTTTGGTTTCATTGTTATCGGTCATTGACACCAGTGATTGTGTTGATTGCAAATAGTAGTCCAAGTAATCATGCATAAACAAACACCTGATAGTCACTGATAAACTGATGGTATCCAATGTATACATGACACATTGTATAGTTACATTTAATTGCCAGCAATGTGTGATTGGATTACTCGAGTCATCAAGCAGTTTTCAAACAGTTTTCAAGAACAATCAAGTCATGTCCAATAAACTGTCTGATGTGCAGGTGATTTGGCATTGGTCCGTTGGTCCATTAGTACGATTGTTGGTTGGCAACTCGGACTTGTAAATGACAATTGATTCTTGATTGTTGCATTGGTGTCCATATGTGTCCATATGTGACTCATTGTATACGGAACAGGACTGACAAGTGTGTCTGAATTGATGACAAATGATACAGCCTATCCAATAAAAAGTAATACATTGATCGTGTCTGCGTGGAAATAAGCTTCATAACTTCCACTTCTGAATGTATGAGAATCAACATTCAAACAACGAATACATTCAATGACTCTTGCAAATGCATTGATAGAGTGTTGTTGAATAGTTCGAGTTCTTCTTCCAGAGCAGTGTCACTGAGAGTAGCAACTTGTCTTATCCATGCAATGAGTTGTATAGACATTACAATTGTAATTACTTGGTTTTGTGCCTGGTCAATATATTGAAAAGTCCCCCGACATGTAAACAGAAGAGTTTGTATATTGTTTCAAGCTTTCATAAGAACTTCAACTGTTGCCTTGAGGTCCTGGACATATTATTGTAAATCGTTTTCAAATCTCATCTTAAGGGAATTGTTCACTCGTGTCAGGAAATAGAATTGCTGGTGCATTATTGAGCACAATAATTATAGGAATCTGTTAATAAAATGGCAATATTTAATTTAATTTTCTACAGTAGGATAAAGAATTTTTACAGCGTATTGGTCGATATCTTGAGGTGTTTTCTTGGTAAAAGAGTGGTAATACAGTGGAGGAAGTAACCAATACAACTTCTCGGCACCATCTCCAAGCATCTCTAAATCTTCTTCGGCACCGCCTTTGATATCATGTTTCTTGCCAACAGTCATTTGAAATGCACCAATTCCAGGAATCCAAGCATCAATTGCTGCATAGTTTTTAGTTTTTGGCACATATAGCTGATCTTGAGTCTGACCTAGTAAAACTCTATCAACAACTAGTTTCACTGAAGATGGAATGGTAAGAGTCGTTTCTTCAGGCTTGGATTTCTCATTTCCATGCACCAACTTGTGGCTGTCAAACATCTCCGTTCTCCAGCATTTCAAAAGCATACGGTTCAAAAATATATCCACACAGTGCAGCAGTAAGAGGGCTTCCTTCACACGATGCCAAGAGTTCCGCCATCTTGCGTTTCGCTTCTGTTCCTTTGATTTGAACAATGATATCCAAGGCTGTTTGAGACGCAAAGGTAACAGATGGTTCTGTGAATGGGTCAACAGATGTCATGTGAACCAAAGAATGGACAACTTGGGACTTGTCTGTAATAGTCGAGTTCAAGCCAATTATCTTGATGCAATCATCGAGGTCGCATTGCCTACATGCTGCTTGAAGTAGCTTTGTTGGATCATACTGCTTATCTTCCAAAACATGTCGAGGTATTCCACCAAGAATTTGAAGCGATCACGCCAGTCAA